AACTGAACTAAAGTAACTTTATTGAAAAGCAATAAAATTTTCGTTAACTTCCGTTCGCCCTTGCGGACATCAATCTCAGTTTGCGGCCGAAACGGGAAAAACCTCGAGATATTTTGTGACACTATAAGCTCTTAATAATGTTACATTAATGGGCCTTCCGAAGGATTTTGATTGATCAGTCAATCTGTGATTATCAGAAGTATTTCTTCGACTGATTAGAGAATATACTCTGGAAACTATATATACAAGGTGTTTCGGATTCAGTGTCCAGTTTTGGATGGTTTTGCGTGACATCTCAGTAATCTTTGGAAAAAAAACCTTGCCGTTTTCATATTCCTGTGCCACTTGTTTGTGAAACTCAAGATATCCTGATCAGATTTTGCATAACTGATTTTGAAAATTTATACTTTTTGAACCCCCTCTATGTCAACGAAGTTTCTTGGCGGAAATGTTAAATTGAAATCTTCCCATGGAGGATTTTACGCAAAATCCAGTGGCGCACTCAACTTTTTTTTCGGGGTATGGTTTCGGAGATGCGACTCAAACTCATGATTTTTTTAATGGAACACCCTGTATTTTATGAGCTCAATAAATTCCTCTTTTTTTTCTCCGAAATGATATATGATGTATGGATATAAAATTTTCAGATATGCTCCGAAATCACCATCGAACAAGTTCTGATCCATGAGGCTTAAATTTCTCTGGCTGTGGAATTAAATTTGTTAACGAATCTACATACTCCTGCAATGTGACGTGTCAAATAGGGAGATTTTGGCGTCATCTTGTGCGGTAAAAGTTGGCCCTAAAGGTACTCCCGAGGGTACTCCCCAGTTGATATTCCGAGTCTTGCCTGAGGCAGATGTTCGTTGGTCTCTTTGCAGACTCAAAAGATTTTTTTTTTCGAAATCTCAGTATTCGGGTATGTTTCACTAATTAGTTACATCAGTATCAACGGAAAACGAACTTCCATAGTTCCGCTTGACTGAAAGTCATCAAAGTTCGGAAATGCCTGAACTATAAGAAAACAGGTAGAAGATCTATTCATCTTTTTTCATAAAAAATCCAAATTTTATTGATTCGATTGTCTTTGTGAAATCAAATCATAATAATTATAGTAATTTAGTGGGCCTGTGTGGAAATTACCCACCATCTCTTCCAAAAAATTAGTATAACATGAAGGCATATATCGAGATTTGCCCAGCATGAAACATATGGCCTAGGGGCCAATGTCGAATTTAACTTTTACGTAAAAATGTTTTTGAGTATAATCTGAGATTGACCTGACTATTATCATAATTATAAAATCACACTGTGTTTCCGGGCCCTGTTAGTTTCGACTCCAGAAATATGCTTAGATCTTCTAAACATGCTGTGATTAATTTTCCATCGAGCATCACTTCTGTAAATATGTGCTTCAATAAATCCATCATATCGGTTACGACTACAAAACAGACTTTTGTATCGGCTCTTTCGATATTAGAAATATAACTTGTCTGTCCACTTTTGAGTCGGTGAGTTATCACAAAAGCGAAAATTCCATGAATGCAGACGGGAGCACTTATATCCTCGTATTACTATACGATTGCATTTCTCGGATCTGGTTGCCCATAGCTTCGATACATTAAAAAGGGCATGGAAAAATTAATATTCCAGCGGCGGTTGAACCTTCGCCTGTTACTGTGTGGTGGAGTATGATGTATCCCAGGGGTACTGAATACCAGTTGCCAATGTCTGGCTTAATAAAATGAAGAATTTTTTTATTTCGTGTTGATTGATTAATAGCAGAATGATCAGTCAGGGTTCGAAGCCCAAAACACTGCAGCCTTTGGGCCTATTGTATGCCTGATCATGCCGTTGACTTAGGTGAACAGGTTCGCTACCTTGATAAGGTTTAGCAGCCTCTTCACCAAATCATTCTTTGGAAAGGCCTCTTGAGAGTTTACTGCTCCCAGAAGGTTGTATCTCCAACGCGCTAGTGCTTCGCACTCCAATATTACATGGGTGGCAGTTTCCTCCTCCTCATTGCATAGTCTGCATATGGATTCGTCTGTATAGATGCCCATTTGATGCATATGTTTCCTCAAGGGGCAGTGACCGGTTATTAGTCCCGTCACTTGTCTGATCTGACTTCTGTTTAGGCTCAGAATGTCGTTAGTCACTGTTTTGGACAGTGTTCCAACCATCAGTTTACTGTGTCTTTGTCCTGGTACATTGTTCCAGTATGCCTGATGTCTTTCTTGCATCCACCTTGCCAGCCAGCCGCGTATTGAGGTTTTGGGGATACCGAACACAGGCTCCAGTCCCATAAACAACGCCGAAGACATGTTAAATAAATAAGTAGTGTAACTAGTTTCGGCCACAGGCCATCATCAGACACAAAAATGATGTTTTCGGAAGTACCTTAGGAATACATATTGAGAGCATGCAAAAAATGTATATAAAATTAACAGCCTGAGTCAAAATTTGACAAAATCAGTCCCGAATTCAAAATAGGTTCAAATCCGGAAGAAGTTCAGTAAAACCAGGTCAGCATTATGTTATTGAAAAACATTGGCACAATTCATCAAAAAATTTAAAAAAATTGAATCAAATTCAGGACTGATTTTGTGAAATTTTGACCTAGGCTGTTGATTTTATATATATTTTTTGCTCTCAATTGCTAAGGTACTTCCGAATACATCATTTTTGTGTCTGATGATGACCTGTGGCCGAAACTAGTTACACTATACTTATTCAAAAATATTTCCGTGGTCGACAGACTTTGGGACTTTCATTGCTTCTTCTTCTAAAGATCAATATTGGACCACTTTGAGAAATATGGATGGTTTCTACGATTCAAAAAATTAGTAATCGACGTCATCATTATGGTACAAACGGAATAAAGAACAGACATACATTTAACAGAAATGATCAGAATTCCGAATCTTGAACCACCCTGTATCTGTTCCGATCGAATATCACAAAATAGTGAATCAAAAGTTGACATAGGGACATGTGAGCCGTTTTGACTGATGAATAATCTCGACACAAAAAATCCTTAAGTTGAAAAATCTCGATTTTGAACACCCTATATCTCTGTGATATTTTTCGATAGACCCCAAGTGTGATACATCGATAAAATCAGCTCTTCAGGGAGAATCTAAAAATACGATAAAATACAGGTTGTTCCACTTGAAATATCCATGTTGCTACTACTTTCTAGTAGAAGCGGCAACACTGCATCGACGAAAATATTTATAATGAAAAGAGCATATTCTAAGATATAAACTTGCACATTTTCATGATTTTTCAAGATAGTGTAAGCTCGTCGTGACATATACCCTGTATACCATACAAACCAACAATTCTGGCGTTCCAGAAGGGTCAGTTTTGGCACCAATATTGTACCTATTACCGCTTGCCCTATTCTCACTTTTGTAGGTTATAGTTCTCTATACTGCGTTCTCTTCTATAATTCCCATTTTTTGCCAAAAATCAAGCAAGAAATAAAAGTTACCCAAGGAATAATAATGTTGTATTATCAATTGTACAATCTGGTGAAAACATGAGATTGTAAAATAACCTGTGGCGTATTTACGAAACCTTCAAGTTTCATCGAAATTAGCAAAAATACTTTTGATTGAATTATTGGAAATGAAAACAAGCTCACCTTGTATCTCTGAAACGAAGAAAATCAGAATTTCTTCTCAGAAAATACGACAAGGAATTACCATTTTTTTCTGTCTCGGTATTTTATTGAAATATTTCATGTAATATTTTTCCTATCAACTCCAATTCATATGTACACCTATAGGTATGTTGGTATATTAAATTCCGCACAGTCACAATTATTTGTTTTTTAATTAAATTTCGTGAAATTCTGAAGCCATCGTATTTAATAAATGTTATAAACATTACTAGTTGAATCGAGTCACAATTCAATTACAATGATTTCAACACACAATGGCAGCACATAAAAAGCTTGTTAGGTATATATAATACTGAATGCATGTACCTATATTTATTGCGTTGGCAAAGAGTTATTTTGCGGTCCCATATAAATCGATGAATGGAAATCGAAAAGCATGAAATTGAACAAATACGATACATGTAATTAATGTTTATGATGTGATGTAAAGGTGAAGGTGTTTCAGATGATTCGGTGCACTTCTGATGCCGTTTTCTCCTGGACTGAAATTATTCCCTTATTGTTTATCTATCTTGAATAATTCATACTTGATAAATAAAGACAAGCAAGAGGAAAAAAGTAGAATGATTTGTGTCACATGTCATACACAGCCTATCACCATCATTTCATCTGCAGCATCAAGTGTCATGTGATAAGATTGCAGGGATCTAAGATGATAATGCGAATCCACATGAAAATCCTCAAAAACTGCTTCGTTTCATGTCAGATATGAAAATTATTCCTCCTAGCTGTTTGGGGTTTTCTTTTGAATAATCGGATAATCCCAACTGAATAGGTACAGTCGTATTCAATAAAAAAGCGTAAAAGTATTAAAAAGAGAGAATTTCGGGATCCTAGTCCTAGTTGTGTAAAATTGGCTCAGCCAATGCTTTGTGTTTTCGAGAACCTATGACAACTTTACTGTCAACATTTGGTGAACAATCATTCCCGATAGTCCGTTTTATGCAGGATAGGATGACGTTAATTTCTCTCTGTGATATACTTGTACGCTTTTTTTTTGAATGCGACTGTACTTCATTGCCACTTCTGGAACTGCTGATATGAAGAGTTTTCCATGAAATCACTAAATCGCAAGAATATATTAGGGATTCGGCATTCAAAATGAAGATTGTGCAAGAATATAACTTGGCAAGAATGTGTACAATCAACATTTCAGTTTATAACTGATATTGGAATAGAATTTTTAACATACCTTATTCATTATAAACCGTGTGACACATTATGTCACATGTTTCAAGCAATATAACCTCCATTTCATCTTTAAAAGTCAGTCTCACAAGACATTTTAGTGAAATTTTCAGTATTCCGAACAATGCATGGTCATCTTTACTGCATCAAAGAAGAAGAATCCAGGGAGCTGAGATGCGAATCCGCCTCAGAATCCTCAGAAACTGCCTCCTTGGAGGTATTGCATACATACGAAAAGACTCACCTCCTATCCATTATAGCTGACGAAGACACGGTGGTGGGATTCCTCTTGGGAGGTATAGGTGATCTGGATGAAGACGATAATCCCAACTACTTCATCGTCACCAGACGGACTACCGATGAGGACATAGAAAGAGCTTTTTATGAATTCAGTAATCGCAAGGACATCGGGATCATCCTCATTCAGAAGGAAGCGTCTGCTAGAATCCACAATGGCAAGGACTTGCACAAGAAACGTTTTCCGGTGGTCATTCAGATCCCAGGGAAGAATGGCCCGTATGAGATCTGCCTTGATCATATTTTCGAGATTGCCGACGCCCATGAGAAGGAAAAAGAGGGTATATTGCAAGAAAAGAGAGATTCAAGCGAAAGGAAAGCTTCCATGGCATCTTCAGAAAGAAGATCGTCACAGCAGAGTCGAGTTTCTGATACTAATGGAGATTATGCGGAAAATTTTTTCAAATAATCATTCTACCACTACTTTTTATGTGAGCATGAACAATAAGAGCTTTCATTTTCAGTCTCACCAACCGATAGCATGAGATCTTCGTCAATGTCAAAATTTCCTGAATATTTCTAGATAGAACTGTTGGCTAAAGCTGGCTAGAGCCTGTTTTATCCTAGAATTTGCTCTACACTACACTCAAGTTTTAGTCAAACTTTGGCTGGCTCTGGCTTTTTACTTCCAATAAGACAACCAAGAGTAGATGCCGAATAAAGCCAAAGTAGCATAATTATGTCATGCAAGTTTTCAACTTTCAGTGGAATTTGGTGGACAATCAAAACAAGTTAGCTCTCATTGACCAACGATGACAGATTTTCAAGAAGTATAATATACCTATCACCATTTGTTCTTAATTCATCACCATGTTCAATGTCAATTGCAAGAGGAAACTTACTCATTACTCAATTGCTCACATGTTTTTCAAGAATTGATATTCTGATGAGTCTTGTGAAAAAGCCTCAACAACATCATCAATTCCCAACTGTGTGAATTCGTTTAATATCAACAAAATCTTGACAAAGGTTCGCGGATAGTGAATGTTGAAATATAACTACCATACAGCCGAGTTCCTCTCTGGTTAATCTTGAGGGACCAACTTATTCTCCTTCCTCTCATGGTATAGTTAGTGTATGATTATCATGCCAAAGGTTTCATGTGTAGTTCTTGTTTTTACCAGAATGCAAAGTTCTAAGTATTCAGGGAATATTTTAGTAACGCCACGTTGAATTGGAAGCTTTTGAGAATTGTTAATCTATCAAAAGTGACCTATATTTTCATCTAATGACTGATTTCAACCGGAAAATTTTATATAGCTAATAATTCATGGGGATTTTGGTTCGTACTTATTTGAGACTTTTCCATGATGAACAAAATGAAATGAACGATACTCAATCGTGATCGATCGCTCGATATGATACAAGAATGGAGTACAGTGCGTGTATGTACTACCCGATTACCTTGAGGGCATCAACTCGGATTTTATGACACGTGACACCGACCGAACGAAGTTACCCGACGGAGACTTTTAGTCACTTTCTCATGGAGTCATGGCTCACTGAAATTTGATCTCTTCTGGAAGGTGACGCACCTTCTCCACGTAAATTATGATGCGCCTTTGCCCTTTGATATCGATAATTAAGTTTCCATCCCATTGGCGTAGATCCCCAAGCCACGAGGCAATGTTTAAAATTAATAGATATTGATGGTACAAAATTGCCGTAAAGATCCATATCTTGCTATGAAATGGGAAACTTGATAACATATTGATGAATTTGCGATACGAATATACTTAGTAGAATGTTTTACGTTCTGTCAATACCTAAATTGATGCTACTAGTGTCGTTGTGAAGATGTCTCGTCTCTATTGATGAAAATATTAGTATATTATTACAGTATACTCGTGTACCTAGTATAAGGACAAATCAGACGATTTGTCCCAAAATGTCACTAGGAGGATCTAGCCTCCAGAAACATGTGGTGCAAAAAGTGCAGGGGTGTTTGAATAGATTGTTCAAACAACCATATATATATATATACCTTCTGAAGAAATCGATGTTTATAACAAATTGATGAGATCCGGGCTCATTGCTGATTGTACAAGTTGCCAAATGTGGTCAAAATGTCGAAAGAACTCTTCGAACATATCGCTGAAAATAGTCTTAGTGCCGAAATAAGCTTTCAGGGTCACTCCACTCTTGCTATGTCTTGATCGGTAGTATGTACGTCTATTAACGATGGAATAGTTGGAATTATCGCCTTCATTCAGAACTCTTATCTTCCAAGAGGAATCCCACCACCGTGTCTTCGTCAGCTATAATGGATAGGAGGTGTCTTTTCGTATGTATGCCTTACCTCCAAGGAGGCAGTTTCTGAGGATTCTGAGGCGGATTCGCATATCAGCTCCCTGGATTCTTTTTCTTTGATGCAGTAAAGATGACCATGCATTGTTCGGAATACTGAAAATTTCACTAAAATGTCTTGTGAGACTGACTTTTGAAGATGAAATGGAGGTTATATTGCTCGAAACATGTGACATAATGTGTCACACGATTTATAATGAATAAGGTATGCATGTACATCATCACCATGTCTCCGTCGATTATAATGAATAGGAGGTGGAATTTTTCGTATATGAAGGCATTAGCTCCAAGAAGCTAGTTTCTGGGGATTCTGATGTGGATTCACATCTTAGCTCCCTCGATTCTTTTTCGCTGAGAAAATATATATATTTATATATACACACAGGGTGTTTAAAAAAACTAACTAACTAACTAGGGTAGGTAGAACACAGCAAAATAAAGTTGGGTTTACTCAGTAAAAAAATTTCGTAACGGCATCCGTTATCAAGATTCAAGGTGTTGAAAAAATATTTTTTTTACACATTTTTCAAGATTATGTCGAAACTACTGGCAACATTGTGATGAAATTTTGTATGGATGGAGTCTATCTCTTGAGTCTCGATCCAAATCAATGATTTACATCATCTAAGGTTACAGACAGTATTTGATTATGCGAAAATCAATTTGACGCTTTTGTCACATTGAATTTGTTGATTGCATTTTATTTCAAGTTTCGATTGAGTAAGTTTGGAATATAAGGGAGTGTATATGAAATCATTGGAGTTCAAAAATTGAATTGTTATTTGTTTTATAATACTGATGGATACACTGATTAGGTACTTGGGTAGCACATCAGATCTTATATCTCTACCAAGGAAGTAACCTGAAATCAATTTATTTTTCCTCCCACAAGAGTTGATATTTTTTTTTCCTTCCGTGAGAGTAAACTGACAGATTTGTGTCCTTAAAGGAAGGAGCAAACGCTTACTTTCGATGTAGTGAGTAGATACAATATTTTGTATAGGAGAATTAAAAAATGAAGAGATATAATTCAATGACTTGTTTGTTTATACATAATATGCATAAGATAATAATATATAGAGCTAATTTTTTCGCAAATACGATAAGAATACTGTGGGAGATGACTGGAGACTTCAGGAAGCAATGATAACAATATCCGATAACTGGCATGATTTTGCCTACAGAATGATGGGCTGATGGTTTATACTCAATACAGCTAATTTATAGTTTCTGAACGGAATCATTTTGATTCTTGGATTTTTAGTCTGACATTGGAGGTGTTTAATAATCTCTCTGTATAACGGAAAATTATTCTATCAAAATTCTATCAGCATTTGGTAATCACTTTTTGAGTTTTCTTCTTGGACTTGGTTTCTCATTTTTTTCTAGAAATCTGATTCCATTTTCTTTTGTTCTTTGTATTTGATAGCTGTCTTTGATTTTAGTTCAGCGTTCTATCTGATATCTGAATTCTGGAATTCAAATTATAGAATAAGACATTTTTTTCCTTGCAACTAATTTTGTTCACTATGACTTCAGCGAATTTCAAACTTGAAACCCTTATATATAACGGTCGAAAAATGTAGCAACATAATATGCATAACATTTTATATTCGGAAGTGGAGACTTTGAGTTCTTTCTCATGATATACTTATAAAAGCCCCAGAGTTTCATGTGAATATAATAGGTTTCGATTTCGATCTGAATTTCGCAACAGACACAAAATCATATCCATTGAATATGCAATTTTTTTGACGGCATATATGTATACATACCTGCACCATGCCGAATGCTGTTTTAATCAAAAGTCCATTTACATCATGAGTGCATTATCAAATATTCAAAACTTAATTGAAATCAACATACAATGGAAACAGGACATAAAAGTGTTACCTATATTATAGAATTACTACCGATATCGACGAAAACATCGTAATCGATAGTTGGTATTGTGACCGTAGGTATCGGGTTTGATTTTCATTGGTGTTTTAAATTCCTTGCCAATAAAAATAAATGTACAATACGAAATATACTAAAACGTATCGAAGAGTTCGTTGAGTCTGCTGTTGTTGCTTTGGAATTTACCTTTATGTGTGTACAGGATTCTGAATCTTGAAGCAACCTGTATTTTTTTCAATTTGATTTCAGTAGATAGTGAATCAAAAGTTAAGATATGGACATGGAAGCCGTTTTGATCCATAATGAATAGTTTCGACACAAAAAAATCCTAAAATTGAAAAATCTCGATTTTGAACACCCTATATCCCTGTAATCATTCCTGCTTGACCCCAAGTGTGATGCATTGATGGAATCAGCTCTTCAGGAAGAATCTAAAAATGCAATAAAATACAGGGTATTCCATACGAAATAACAAAATTGCTAGTTGTTTCTGATAGAAGTGGCAACACTGTATCGATGAAAATATTTTAGACGGATAGAGCATGCTCAATTATCGAAGCATGCCAATTTTCAGAATATCCTGTCTTCGTTCTCCAGATACTTCCAATAGGCCATCCACCGTGGATCACCCTGTAGAGTTTGAAATTCCAATGATTTTTTTTTCAATAGCTCCAATCTCATAGAAAACTTTGCCTGCAAAAAGACATATATAGCCTCATGACATCTTCATGATATGAATGATAATCTTCCTTGAGAATTTTTCAGCCTCTTAATTTGATGGTAATATTGTAAATATAAAAGTTAGATGTCTATATAAACCAATGAATTTATCAAATGCCTTGAGTATAGCACTTCAGCTATAATAAAAATAAGCATGTGATTTATATCAATAAGTATTCCGTTTTTCATCGTAGAATTCGTAGTTCAATTTCGAGAACGTTACTCTAGGCTAGATTTTCAGGGGGATTGTCTATTCACTGTCAGCGGTATTTCGTTCATTGATGAAATTCAAATTTATTTAATAAATCTGGCCTTTTCGTTCGGGTTTACTTTATTTTCGCATTGAAAACAGCTTAGGGCGACTGGAAACTTTGAATGTATTCAAAAAGTATAAAGCACTTTTTGATATGTATTTACACAAGAGGACTTTTTAGTGGACGCGCTTATGTTCAAAAAAGGGCTGTCGTGGGCTTGAAATGATTA